TCAATCATATCGTCCTCGGCAGCGATGTGTTCCACGAGTCCAACGCGTGAATCGATCGCTGTAAGACAGTAATTATACGTTCCATATATGAATATGATGGAATCGGAGAGTTGGCGTGCTAAATATAGTCAACCACATAGGTTTTCATAATGACCTCGCGAAGCGAAGCGTCTTGGGTTTACCGGAAATGAATTCAATGCGCACGCACTCAGAGTCGGAGAGTCACATTAATAATTAGCATTTATACAGGGTATAACCGAAAATCATTTCGATAAGCTATCATGTTTCTTAATCGCTTAACAGTAGCCTAAACTGATGGAAAATGTGACAGTATAATCTAAAATTCTATCTAAGTAACATTAATGATCATGAGCTACACCCCTTTTCTCCTGGTGTACGAGACGCACACTTTTAGTAATACCACAGATTCAAATACAAGAAAACAATTGTGTATTTATTTGCCTTACTACTTGAACACCTAATAAACTTTGAAGGTAATCGAACCACTCGGCAACATTCCATTCGAGGATTAACAATCAATTAATTTTTCCCTCTGCAACTGACAAGTATGACAATATTATTAATTGAACGATTTTAATTAAAACTAATTGTTCGAGCGGTGTCCGGCGGTTACGAGTTGATATTGTGCTCGAATCGGAATTGGAAATACGAGTACGTTTACGAGCAGATGAAAAATCCCATCTCGTTCGTGGGAGGTGGGTACCTAATCATTTTAATCGCGAGCCACACTAATGTAACCACCGAAACGTGCGGCGAATATGTGGTAAGAGACAAGTGGTAAGACACGTGAGCTAATTCCTCTTTTTCCCTTTATTCATTGCGTCAATAGATTTATCTAAGCGCCGCCATGTGCGTCGACATGTGAACGGAATTAGTCCAGTGCAGGAAACGATTTGAAAGCTTGCTTTCAAATTAAAATCGCCTGTGATAGCAATCAGAAGATAATGTCTTGAAAAGTGTAGTTACGGCACGGACAAGACAGATGGGCAGAGAAAGTGGCTGAAATGCTAAATATGAATGATTAAGAAACAAATAATCTGAGAATGTTTGAGGCTCAAAACTTGAAATGTAAAATGTTTCTCTTGTAGGAGACCATAAATTGTAATTAGTTGTGAGATCTGAGTCAAGAGTCATAACTCACAGACCACATTTTATCTGACAACGGACGTAAATGATCTCTATCAGCAATTGTCTGTGCGCCCTAAACGAGGAGCGATTGGTCAACTTCTATCTTTCTTCTGCCATCGGAAATACTTTCTATTGTTTACCTGGTGCTGACGACGTTCAATCCTCCCTCCAGAATGTAGGGCTGCTCTATTTTTTTAGCAGATTCGAAGACAGCACTCGCCAAAACAGAAATGATATTCTTCCAATGTAAATCGTGCATATCTCCGGGTAATTGTTAATGCGCATATGTACTCGAGATTTATTAATTCAACATTGGGACTGTAAGGAACTTCGTAACTTCCCCTCCCTATGATTTTAAATGAACCAATGTTCAAATATACGACGAGGCAACAGCAACAAATGGCGATACGACGGAAAGCGGCAAAACTACACCGCGACAGAACAATTGTTCACCAATACCTTTATGGTTTGCGCATCAGGAGTTCTCGACGCGTTCATGTCCCCTCAGCTGTACTCTGCGACAGACCGACTATACACTTCTCGCTGACGGTTTCTTCAATGTGGAATTGAAATAGGCTCTTCCAGCTGTACTCTGCACGGACCGGTTATAGAATCCTCGGTGTGTTATTAGACAACTCTCCGTCCAATAACGCAGCCATCCCCCAAGTGGGATTACGCCGGAATTTTCCAACGAGGGGTTTAATTATTGACCCGTGGCCACGAACGACCTGATAAACACCAGTAGTAGACAGACAGAGGCCTGGTGCAACTACGCTTTGATTTTTCCCGCGCTCTTCGATTAAGGACGCGAAGAAAGTCTTCGCCAACGTGCGAAGAATTTATCCGCCGAGACACCGTCAACCTCTAACTCTACTGCGCCGTTCCGGCGCACTCGTATCAATTCCCCTTACGCCGCTACGCTACCTCATATCTAAAGTTTTCTAAATATGGCGAAAAATAGCATCGTTGACGTTGATTTTTTGCTTTAAAATTGTTATTTGGGGAGATATTTAGAAACTAACAAGAAACAAGAGAGGGATAATAAATAAATAATAAATAAATAAGTAATAAACAACCAATCAAAAATTAGACACTGTATTGTCGTCACTGTCTCTATAATGTCACTGTAAAGTTCCATTCTAATGACCAAAGCCGAAATATTAAATGGAGTTACACCTTCAAGAGCTGTCTCACCTCTGAGCTTGAGTTTTTACGGGTTTTTAATAATTTTTAAAAACTTTAAGAGTTGTTATTGGTCTTTAAGAACTTTTGGGATTTCGCAAGTTTTCAAGGGCCTTTTATAGCCTTTTAAGATACTTTAGATCCAGTTGGATTTTTCGGTTTTTTAGAATTTTTGGTTCTTTAAGATGTTTAATAATAATAATAATAATATATTTAGTGTTAGTAGACCACAACAAGTTGAAACCTTTGTGAGTTCTGAAGGGTCTGGTATGCAAAAAAATGAAAAAAAGGTTTTCGACCTAAAACGAGTAACTTTAGCGCATTTTGTATAAATTGATCAGTACTTTCCGAAAGCTCATGGACTATTTATGTGTACAAAGGAAAATAAGTCGTGGCATAAATATTCTTATAAATAAGAAATTTAGCATTGCGGAATCTGCGTATGCGCACACTTGATGTTGAAAATATGCAATATGTTTACCTTTGCTAGAAGAATTTTTGCGCATGCGCACATCTAATGTTTACAATATGCGATATGCTTACCTTTACTAGAAGAATCGTTGGTTAAAATTTCAAAAAAATATCTCTACAAATAAGAAAGTAGATATTTGCGCATGCGCACATCTGCTTTTACAATCTGCGTGTTTTTACCAGAAGCATCTGTGGTTAAAATTCATCAAAAACCACTTTGGTCATAATAGCGCCTTCGAACATGAGTTGGAAAATTCATTAAAAAGATGTTGATCGATTGATTTATAAAAGGTGCTGGAACCTGGAACAAACTAACGGTCCGCCATCGTCTAATGGCACTTGCCAGTTCTTTCTTTTTTGTGTGCCAATTTTTGTGACTTTAGCAGGTTCTACTCATAGTAGAAAACATTGTTATTTGTGGAGGGATCGAGGAGAATGAGAGCTTGATAAAGGTGGAAAATGCGTCTATCCTTTATGGAACTCTGATGGAAGGTTTCGATGAAAGAACTTGTTTTCCATCAACCTATTCTCATCTCCTATCTCCTAATGTGGGTGGTCATAGCTTCGAGACCGGGTGTCGGAAGAGACTACTCACTAAGGGAAAGGAACGTTTTAAGAAGTACGGTAATTCTGAACGTTGGAAGTTTTAAGTTAGATAATATATTGGAGCACCCAAATTATGGCACTTCCCACATAAACGTCACAAGGACAATATCGCCCGGTTTCAATAAAATTTAAGTTCGTGTAACAGCTGGTCGCTTTAGGCTTTTGTTAAATTTACAAATTTGCCGGTATAGAAATTTTATACGTGTAGCGCTTCATAATGAAAGAGAACAGAACTAATATTCGAGAAATATAAAGCGCGTTAAGTGTTCAAGCAGATAAGAGTTGAAACAATACAGTGTTGCCGGCTCTAGAAACCGTCGCGACAGGGCATCTCCGCTATATTTACCCATGTATAAAAAACCGAGTTGTTTTGCGGTGGGGCCGTTTCAAAATTTTCAATCGGCAAATAGACTAGAAAAGATTTGGTGGGAAAGCGGGATTCTTAGCCCAACCTCCAGAGTGACGCCACGATAGTCGTGGGTGCCAATTTTACATCGTGTAGCATTAATTCGTGGTTGAACCGTGAAAACGAAACGATACAAGCTACGTGCGGTAATTTTAGATCGCGAAAAGTTAATATTAAATTGGAGGTTCAACGAGTTCGTGTCGTAAAAGTAAACAAAAGAATTTTTAACCGCGGTATTGAAAATAAAATTATGAACCAAACGGCTACGGGTAAAAAAGTTAAAGACTATTAATTTAAGAGTTTGTTTGCTGTTAAAACCCTAAGTTATAAAAGTACATATTTAACATTTACGCACTGCGGAATATCGGTATTTATTACCGTGAAAAACTCAAATCTTAACTAATTAAATAAAGGAAGGCGGTTTATTCCCAAATTGCGTCAATCTTCTTTTGAAATTAATTTTAACTAACCCAATCAAACCGGTATTACAAGAGGTCCAACAGTATTGTCCAAGCGTTCCACTATCCGATTTTCTGATTTGCGGTGTATTTCATAAGGAGAAATTCAATTGACAATTGGAAAAGATTTCAACGGTTCGTCATTTTTATATTCCTGAAGAGGTCGATTTTAGGCGGCTTTATCCCTTGAACAAATTTGTGTATTTTTAGCGATGTTTGTAAATTTATTTGTAAAAAGTAACTTTTAATCTCACTTTGGCTGGCTGGCTGGCTGGCAGCAAATGTGGGCGCGTAGAAGAACTCTTGTAGAAAGGCAACGAGGGTATCTACAAGGCCGTGTAATTTGTCAACCTTAGGGACAGGGCTACATGATGTGGGGTTGGCGACATCTGGGCGCCATCCTCGAGCGTAGTTTACTAACGTGAAGTTGTTCAGGTTTTTCCTATCTTCTACTACAGTTTTGGCCCTATTCTTTTCAAATTGGTGTCGTCGGATAGATTGCGTGGACTTTGATAATTTTTTATAAATGATAAGCGTACCCAGACCGAAGGTATTGGAAATTTCCTTTTTTTTCGCTAATTGTAAAATTAAAATTTTAAGTTCAGTAATCTTGTGTGGGTTTTAAATTATTGATTTAGCATCCAGAAGGTCTGTAAATTTGTTTTGAATAGGAATTTGTACCAAGTGTTATTATTAAAAATCTGATATCTAATCACGATATAGATAGTGAAGTTTTTTGTTGTTATTGTTATTTATCAATTACGTCAGTATTCCCAATTATGTAAAGAAAACTGGACTTCGAACGATTTGATTTTCATGAATACATCGTGTACATAAAGTCAGGGAACAGTTTAACTCATTTATAGCACAAGAACTAACAATTGTACAGATATCATGTATAGGTCATTTTGAAGATCCTCTCTTCTCTTCTAAATCACATGGAAAACCATCTCCCTTGCGTCACCAAAATTAAATTCGTGACAAGCTGAAATCACCTGAAAAACAAAACTGAAAAGTGCCACATGGTAACAAACCAATCAGGAGGATTGAGGAAAATTGGTATCATTCCAGATCGCTTATCATGTTGTCGTCGTATTTACAATGCCCAACTAGAGCACATAGATAAATTGGAAATGATATGGATATACCTATAAAGTCTCTTGGTATCACCAGAATCTTCTGTTGTGACTGCTCACTTCGAGAATAATGAAGATGAACATCTTGACATCAATAGTTTTTTCTGTTGTGAGTATTTCATTCTTATCACCAGTAGATGATGAGTTTTTCAAACTCTAATATTTTAAGCTAATCGCCAATGCTCGCTCGCAATATGTCAATGATGAAATCAATCCGCTTGGCTTGAATGATGCCAAATACTATTCCACCGCCCCGACGAACGCGCCAGATGCTACTACAATTCCCGACGTTGGGGACGCTACATTCGGCTGCCGCACCGCAGGAATGTATCCCGATCCATTCGATTGCAACAGATACCATCATTGCGCTCGCCATGGGAACGACGGTTGGACCAAAAGCCCCTTAGAGCACTACAGCGATACGTGTAACTGTGGCTACGCGTACAACGCGAGGACGACCTTCTGCGATATATCGCTCAGGAACGGCACGTGCAACAGTGACCCTGTCGCCGCGTGTCGACACGTGGGGCAAAACGGCGTGATGAAGTACAATCCTTCGGTGTACTACATTTGTCAATATCATCCAAATGGACCGCTGTATCCCTTTATGTATGCCTGCGAAAATGGTAAAAAGTATAACACGTACTTGTACCTTTGCGAATAAGGCTTTTAATTAAAAAAAGTTGTGCTGTATTATATTACATAAGGTTTTTTATACATTCCAAGTAACATTGAATTTTTTGAAATAAAAATATGCTAAATTGTGTGCTGCTAATAGCAAAACTGTAGTGTCCATACTACTTTTTTACTCAAAAAACAACTAGCATTACAATTTCGTGTAAAAGAAACAAATCGTGCTCCCATAGCTCGAGCCTCCATAGGCGACACGAGAAAGAGAGATCGTGATTAGAGGTCTAAGAAACTGTTGGGCGCCGAAAGTCGACTACTCCTCGAAGTCGCGCGCCTTCCAAAAGGTGGTTAATTTCGCCCCTAGGGGGAAAAAACAAAATTCCGACACACAGGATTGTGCGCGTTTACAAAATCTTTCCGACGACACCATTTTGGGACCAATTGGACCAAAACTGTAGAAGAACATAGGAAAAGACTGAAAAATCTTCCTGTTAGTATAACATGCTCGGGGATGACGCCCACATCATGTATACCCATCCCTGAAATTGTTAATTGCACGGCCGCGGTAGGTACATGTACACTCCTCGTGTTTCTACAAGCTTTCTTCTACGGGCTCGCATTTGCTGCCAGCCAGCCAGCCAGTCAGCCGATGTTCCGCAGTACGTAAATGTAAAAAATGCACCCGTGTAAGAGTTTCAACAGCAAACAGAAGCTTGAATTAATTGTCTTTAACCTTTTTACCGGTAGCCGTTTTCTTCATAATTTGGTTCGCACTTCATATAAACAACTTCGGTGCACGAATTTGATGAATAAACTAGCTTTTTAATCTTAATTAGCAACTGTAAATATAGCGCAATTGAACGTTTGGACTTTCGACCCCAACGCTTTCGTAGTAATTATTTATTTAAGCGCGATCACCTTAATCCAACAATGCACTGAAACTAATACGGTAATGCTTTGCAATATTTCCGGTTGAAAATTAATCAGTCGTCGGATCGCCTCTTTCACCGCGCAATGGAGTTTTCCTTTTTCGCACTTTATACTGGCTTTAGCACGTATCGGTATACAGGGTGGTGATTTGCGTAACGCATCATAGGGATTTCAATGTAAAATTCATAACATGCAATTATTGGCTCCCCAAATTATTTTAGAGTAAAAATGTATTAAGGTTTTTTGTAGGAAAAAATTTTTTACGTCAATCAACCCTATTAGTTTTCAATTTTTTGCATAATAAAGACGTAAAATTGGAAAATAAAACCCCCATCTTTTTCAATAATCTGCGATGCCATGGAATTTTCTAAAACAAAAAGATATCAAGTTATCAATTAGCAGCAGTTCGAAATGGATTTTGTGATCGACTTGGTTACTGTATTGCAGTTAATGGTGACTTATTCGAAGGTTTATTGTAAATTGTTATATTAGGAAACCGTTTTTAGTAATTTGGTCTTTCTTTATGTTGAATTCGCTGTTCTAAATATAATACTTTTTGATAGAATTTGATTTGTTTTATAGCAGACATTCCATGGCATATGACGGATATTGGCGTAGTTTTTGTATTATAAAATTCCATGGCATCACAGATTATTGAAAAAGATTTATTTTATTTTCCAATTTTCCGTCTTTATTATGCAAAAAATTGAAATCTAATAGGGTTGATTGACGTAAAAAACTTTTTCCTACAAAAAACCTTAATACATTTTTGCTCTAAAATAATTTGGGGAGCCAATAATCGCATGTTATGAATTTTACATTGAAATCCCTATGATTCAAATTCCAGGGCCACCATGGGGAACTGTAAGAAATAGGTAGGTAGTTTAAATTTGGCGTATTTTGATGCTTGTGTAATGTAACACTATCTTTTAATCATAAATAGCGCTATTAATTCGTAAAAACGCAAGGAACTACGTACGTACACTATCTAAGACAGAGTTTTCTAGGCAAAAACGAAAATATTTTAATAATTTAAAAAAATTGTGATGTTTATATTTTTGAACTCTCTTTTGAATTCTCTATCAAATGACACAAAAAGTAAAAATTACTTCCATAAGAAAAACAAAGTTGATGATGGTCGACTGCAGGCGAAATGTCAAACTTAAAATTTAAAAGTAGCGTCTTGTAGAGGGAAAAAAGTGGCCATAATAATGTGTTATTTATTTCGAAATATCTGTTTAAATATCTTCAGTGAAAAATAAAAACAATTTTGCAAAATTTCGGTTTTTTTCGGATATCTCCGAAAGTAGTCGGAATTTTTTATGTTTCAAAACTGTATTTTGTCAAGCATCAAAATACGCAACTTTGCCAAATGGTGGCCCTCGAATTCGAATCAGCCTGCACATATAGACTTAAGTACCTATTTTAACTTTTGTAGTCACATTTCACGTACAATACCGCGGTTAATAATTCTGTCGTATCCTCGAACATATACACGAACTCGTTTAGTTTAGGGAGGAGTGGAACTAGTTTTATCCTTCATGGTACTCTAATGAAAAGTCTCAACGAACGGAATTAATTTCTACCAACCATAGCCCTCCTCCTCGACCTCTTATCGTGATCGGGTATATTCCCTTATACCTCAAGAACGGATTGTCGGAAGAGGGTACTCACAAAGGGCGATTGAGACGTCTGCAAGAAATATATCCATTGGTGATGTCAAAACAAAAGTTATTTCGGTTAAAAAAATTTCGCTTTATCTGCACAAGAGTTGTGCACAATTTATACTTGTTTACATACAGTGTATTTTAAAAGTAATGGTCAATTTTAATAATTTGACAGGGTATGTGGTGTAGTGGCGTGAAAGTCGGACTACGCCACCAGGGGTTCCTGGTTCGAATCTGGGTTCGGGCATAGACATTTGTAAATGTATAGCGGGTTGGGTTAGTATAGCAGCTCTTGACTGAAACCCGCTTAAAAATAAAGTCCAAAATAAAAAAAAAAAATAAAATAAAATAAATTCAAACAGTAAAAAGTTGATTTTTCTTTCAAATGTCGAAACAAATTCTACATCGATCAATTATTACATTCCCTATTCCTATCTGTTATGCTTTCCGTTTTATTTTAGATTTTTTTAAGTTGTGACTGTGCTGCATAATTTTCTTAGGAGGCCTTGTGAGTAGATTGTGCCTTCTTGGAGATATTACTTGGGTTTCAACATGACGGAGCGCCGGCTCATTCTACCCATGATGTCTCTGACGCACAGTTTTGAAAATGGACTGGGACCTGAGATCCGTGCCGTTGGCCTCCTAGATCTCCAGATTTAACGTCACTTGGCGTTTATGGGTGGGGTCATACCTAGGCGCTTTCTTTCGGTGATCCAAACGCGTTTGGATTGTCAAATCACGTTCTTTCGAAGTGTGATCTTATAATCATGATTGCTAAAATCGTGAACAAACTGAACATTAAAGTTTTATGATCCTGAATTCCTAACCTATAAATGCAACGACATTTTTGCTCAATTGTTAAGTTAGTCAATATTTATAACTGAAGAGGAGCAGAATCGTGCAAGTGCTTCCGCTTGTATTTAAGTTATTTTCATAATCCAATCAAAAAATACGTAATTCGAGTGCAAATATGTACCTAACCGTATTTTGATTTAAATTCGCGCGTTCTTTCGTAAAACGTGATCCTACGAATCATGATTTTGAAATCATGATCGCGAAGTAGCCGAAAGAAAGCGCCTCATATATGTAAATACAAAGCTTACTTCACACCAGTTGCTTCTCGTGAAGAACTGGAAATTAGGGAGCTTTTGATGAAACGGATGCCGAGAGGCAATTACCAACGGGGTTCATCGCAAGATCCTGTGATGTACTGAAAAAACCTCAATTGATATTTGTTTACTATTTTGTCGTTTGTTATTATTACATGTTTATTATGTCATCTATTTTATGCATAACGGTCACAATTTTAGAAAATTGAAAATAAAATAGAAAGCATAGCAGATGGGTATAGGGAATGTGATAGTTTATCTATGTAGAATTTATTTTTGACACTTGAAAGTACAAAAAGTGTTTCATTTAAAAGACAACTTTTTAAGGTATCAGGTTATTAAAATTGACCATTAGTTAAAAAACACCCTGTACAAAATTGAAATCATTCTCATGTAGCATCAAATCAGTAGGTATTTTTGATTTTGGAAGAATACTGAACCAGCACCACCACAAAAATAACTGGATAGTGAAAGCTGTGAGATTCTATCACCAAGACCTTGATCGGCCATCAACCAGCGACACTTTCAAGAACCTTTCTTTTTTGTGTGCCAAATTCTGTGACTAGCAGTGGGAGGGTTTCGAAGAAAGGATTGTTTTCCATCAACCTGTATCTGCTAATGCACTTGGTCAAAGTTTTTCTCATATGTCTAGAGACCGGGTGCGGGAAGTGGATACTCACAAAGAGAAAAACAAACGTCTCAATGAGTACGGTAACGAGAGTGTTATTGTGATGTTTGCGTCAGTGGATTTCCACACTCTCGGCATTTTGAACGTTGGAAGTTGAACTTATATACACGTAATACATTGGAGTGCCCAAATTATGGACACATTCCACAACGTCATGCTATGACAGGATTTGTTTATGGACCAAGAGAATTAGTGGGCAATTAACCACTAACGTACCAAAAACAAAATTAGGTGAATTTAGCACCATAATACTGGACAAGTGTTTGTCACAGAGATTTGCATATTTGCAGGATTTATGATAATAGTTTGCAAAACAAAATAATCATGATGACAGAGTAAGTAGGTGGGTAACCTTATCATTTACTAGAGTGGACGTGTACCTCCAAAAAAAGAATGTCGCTTAAGTAAAACATTACTTTGTGTTAGTCAGGATCATGTATATTTTTAAGTTGATCTGGGTTGTCATCGAGGCCCATCTTCCCCAACAAGGAATTTTAAGCCGACACTATTGTAAATAAAAAAAACACCATTACTTAGAGATTCTTGGCTGAGGACTTCAGAAAGTCTTGGGAAGCTCTTCGGAGAATTCAAAAAAGATGTGTACGGTACGGAAAAAATAGCACATTACTTCGTCCATTTTAATTATTTGTCTACTACTACGCCTCCCTAGTGTTTTTAACATAAGCAAAATTAGATT